ATCACCTTGTTCAGCCTTGGAACAAACAACCACCGCGCATTCGCACTTTTGCTTCGCGGTGGGAAATCACTGGAGGTAGTTTGTGAGACTGACAGCGACTGCGAGGCCTGGCTTGTTGCTCTCAAGCGTCTACTGCATTTGAGGACTCCTGCGGAAAGGCTTCTTGAGGAACGACGGGGTACGTGAAGAGACGCACGTGCGCAGCTGAGCGATAATGACGTGGAAATGCGGTGAAGTGGCCCACTTGACATCCTTAATATGCGAGAATTTGTTTTGTTGGCCCCCGATGCAGCAACTCTTTGCGGCGAGGATCACATTCCGCCAGCCCTCTTCCTTCGGGTGTAACAGGAGCTGGCGGAAAAGTCTCAAAGGAGCACAATGACCGCCTGTGGCGTCCGAGTTTGCTCGGGCCTGGATCTCTTTTGCTCTGGCCTACTTTACGACTAATTGTGCGAAAAGCGTGTCGTTCCGCTTCCGCACTAATGCCGTGGGATATTTTATTGTTTTTCTCTCTTTTTTTCCCATGGCTATTTGTGGTTTTCTTGTGTGCTCTTTTAGATGTATTGAGGCGGCTGGTTGGAGAGAGGCTAACTGCCGCACAATCTTGTGTGAAAAGGACTTTTGAACCCCACGTGTTTGGGTTATTAGCGAGTAAAGGGAAGAAAAAAGGAAATGATGGTCATCACCAGTACTACTGCTGCTGCTTCTTTTATTTGCTGCCGCTTTTAAGTGGGCTATCCATCATTTCTTGTGGGTGTTCCACACCCTTCTTCTCTTTTCTCTGTTTTTGGATGCGTGTTTTTAGCACCGCCGTTTTGGGACCATTGCTTTGCCAACATGCATACGGGGGTGATGCTCCTTCCCATAGATGTGCCGTGAGAAAATATTAATATATTTTCAAATGCGCCGTGTGCTTCTCTGTGTGCGTGTAATGTGGGGCTTAGGCCTCACCCAGGCGGGGGCAATGACACCTTTGCACCATTGCGAGGCGGCCGTCGAGGCGGTGCACTAGCACAATAAACTGTGCGTTCCATATCACGCAGAGTATTCGCTACTGTGGGAATCGAACACTTGTTTTTTGGTGAAACTACCAGGGCTTATCCACTGGGTGCGGTGCATTGATTCGGCAAAGGGAACAGAAGGACGTCCTCTATGAGGTGTGCCTGTGGAGGGAGAACTGAACTGCTACCTTGATGACTATAAAATATTGGCATTTATCTGAAACGAGAGGGCGCATCGCTGCGCATGACGAGACTTTATTCATACGGACGTGATGCGGCGGGTGGAGGAGGCCAACGGGCATGAGCAATACGAGAGCGATGCCATTGCTGGCTGTTGAGATGATTTGAGCAGTGATGATGATAATGATGGGGCGAACACTCTCAGGTAGAAACGCTCTTCTCGCTGTCAAGGTATTAAAGTTGCACGGTAATGTGCCGCAGGTTGACCGGCCCTCTTTTTGTGGGTTTTTCCAACACTTCGGTGGAGCTGCTCGGCGTTTTCCAAAAGGGTGTTCTGTTCTGCACAGGCGTGGCTGCCCGAGGATTGTATCCGCCACGGGCGGACTGAAGTGTGCACGACGATCCTCCGACAGATCCAGCGTGTTGTACTTACCGCACTGGACGGTCAATCCCGCATTGGCAACGTTGGGGACTCTCTGCTGTTCCTCATGCCACACGAGGCAGGATGCATCTCATGCGTGAGGACCCTTTATCGCCAAAGAGAGAGGGATCAGTGACTCTTTACGGGAAACGAGGCGGCAGCAGCAGCAAATGGAAGAATGCTAATACGTCTCTTCTCTTTCCACCACCTGACGACGTTGGACCCAAAAGGGGAACCACATGTGAATGCAACGCACAGCCACTTACGTGTGCACTGTTATTCGACTTGTCGTGAAGCGGGATGGAGCCGTCAATGACTCACCTGGCGGAGATGCGAGCTGGAACGATGGTCTCGCCCGACTCGCACCGTGTGATGTTCCCATCATACATGCGGGCGCACGCAGGGCACTCCAGAGAGCCTATAAACCGTTTTTTAAATTTGTGTATGCTCACATTGGTCGCGTCGCACACGGTTTCCTTGACAAGAGACCCGGTGATGTTTGGGCACAACTGCAGAGCTTTATTGGGGAGGACGCGAAGACCGCGAGAGAGGCGTCTTCTCTCGACACACAGGAGGCCGGAAGAGAGTGCGAGGGCTTTCGAGGTTGGATGCGACTGCAGTTGGAGGCGCGTCACGATGATTGGCCGCGAAGCGTGATTGTGCGGAGGCAGCGCCGTGTGACGTGTAGTGCTGCTGGGCGGGGAATTGAACGGAGGCTGGCACGGAGTGAAGAGAGAAGTGACACACCCACGAAGCAAGAGGCCAATGTTGCAGTGGCGTTGGTGAAGTGTTTTCCATGGGATGAGCTGAGATGTTTCTCCCATGGCGCTTAGCTGTGCCCGCGCCAGCCCGTGTTTTTTATCTTTTTGACTCCACAGAGTGTACAGGCTTTTGGTTCTTGCTTGCTTGGCACTCCTCCACCATGGGAGTCAACGAACCACGACGACCTATCGGGATGCCAACCCACGGGAATCGTGGGCTTCAGCGTGGTCAATCTGGATCAGTGAGCGGAGACCTGCGGCAACTCATTCTGCGGCGAGTATCTCACGCACTGTTACGGGTGTCGGCGCCTTTGTGTGTCTGCCCGACGACCGGCATTTGTATGGCGTACGCCCTTTGCAAGGCTGAGGGAAAGGGCGGGAATTCCCACGGGCACATGTGTGCAGTCAGAACGCGTAAATTGCGGACTTGTTTGTGCGGCAAGGCAGCAAGGTCGCTCAGGAGAAGCGGCATAGACTGGGAGTACACCTTCTAGCGGCGCGTGCTTGGTGACTACCGAGGCAAATGCCCCCAAAGGGACGCATGTGGGTGATGCAGATGCACTGGATATGCACAATGCCATGCTTCGTGACAGGGAGCGAGGGAGGAGTAGCGTGATTCCTCCTGCCATAGACCTATCAACTATTGAGGAGTTGGAGTGAAGCTAAGGGGACAAGCGTGTGTGTCTTCACCTTCTTGCGGGAGGGCGCGCAGAGGTTGTTTTTCTTTTGTTACTATTTTGTTCGGCCACTGTGTCTGTGTTGACGTTATTTTTTATTTTTCTCCAGAGGCATTCATTGTGCGATTTGTGCGTGTTTGGTGTCCAACGTTTTCAGCACCGCCAAATGGCGTGTTGCGCAGGATCGGAATACATGGATGTGCGAGAGCATCGTATCGCTCGCCCGTAATAACACACACGCACACAGTTTCAGTGAGTCTGACACGTCACGTTCTTCAGAACGGTCGAAATCACTTGTGGGAAGTCACTTCATTTTTGGCCTCGGGAAAGTGAAGTAAATGGAGAGATATGCCGAGAACGCAATGCTCCTCCATAAGACCGCGCGCTGGCGGCGACAATGATCAGAGAACCTCTACCCAACATTGAGAAGAGGGCAGCACTCTGATGGTCCGATTTTTGCCGTTTAGGAACTCCTAATGTAGTGTACACCGTGTGGGCCTTTTTGCTGCGGATATGTAGAGGGGTGATTTGGGGTGGAATTATTGTTGAATGGAACATGGACGCCGCAAAGCCTTTATTGGAGGGATGCGTGCTGTTATTCCGTGCCTCCTTGCCTGCGTTGTCGCACTCATGCTGTGCGTGCGGATGGCCACAGTAGTGGAGCTGAATACGGTTCAATGTGTGTTTGCTCACGGGGACTGCGCAACACGTGTTTTTTTTTGGGAGGCCCAAAGGAGGGGCGCATCGCCGTTGCGTGCTTTCCGCGGCAGTTCATTACTCTGCGACTGTGCATGCCGCCGTCCACTGCGCCACTGCAAGCCTTCGCCTTTGTGAGAAATGGGGAGCGTGACTGCTGTGGCGGTGGTCGAATGTTCCCGAATTGGTGCTCTTGTTGATTTCACTTAGAGCGCCGAGCAGCGAGGGGCCGCACACGCCCAGGAGGTGGGAGTGTGTGCTGCAACCGCACTTGCGATTTGCAGTTGGGATGTGACATGTTTCTTTGGTATTTTTGTTTTTGGTGATATGCGGGGCAGCGGTGTGTTGGCGTGTGCGGGCTGCTCATGGCTGCTGGTGTTGTCTTTCCTGCTGTTCCCCCGCTCCACTCCTTTGCGTGCGACAGACCAAACGTTTTTACGGGCGTGTGGTGGGGCCGCGTTCTTGTTTGGAAAAAAGCCTTCCGCAGGCATAATAATACTGCGGTCTGTGCCACACGAGGCAGTGGGTATTTCCTGGGATTTATTGGCGGGGTGGCACCGCACCCATGCCGTGTGGTTGATTTTTATTCTACAATGCACGGTGAGGGGGATGTGCGGTGACAACTTCCTCCAGTGGAGCGGCACGAGCAGCACGGGGAGCGGAACGGAGGAGTGGTGGCTGCGTGCTTCCAATTGATACGTGAATGGCGAGTGCAGTATGAAGGGCAGCGTCACGGCACTCTTTTGCCATGCACACCACAAATATTTTCCATAAAGCATGCAAATTGCACTCTTTTCTGTTGTGTGGGGGATTACCGTGATGCATCGCTGTTGTGGTGTGTATGATTTGTGCTCCCTGCGTGTGGCCGTTGCTGCACCGAATTTACTTTTTATTTTGTGTGCTTGTGTCAGGGTTTATGTGCCCACGTCCTCCTGCCGAGTGTGTGCGGTGACGGCGGTGCCACACGGGTGCGGAACTGTATCGAGCGGGATGCGTGGGCGAACCCTCCGTGCGCACCACGTTGTTGTTGTTTGCTCTCTCCAACACTGTGCTGGGTGGGTGGCATCCACTCGCCGTCGTTGTGGTGGTCCTCGTGCATGTGGTGTGCATCGAAAACTGTGTCGTCACACTGTGTGGGTGAGTCCCTTGTTGTGGCTTCGATTCATGACTGTGCCTATTGTCTTTCTTTTACTCATTCCTCTTTTTTGTTTGGTGGTTATTGTTTAGATCTAACTCAAACCAACTAAGAAAACAAGGAGAAACAATGTCTGGAAGGCCCGAGGAAGGAATTTACGGCAATTTGGAGAGTCAATCGTCCAATTTCTCGCAGGGAGGTCGGAGGAGAGCGAGGTCGGAATTTGAGGGTGAAACAGATTACTCCTCTGCGACTCGCAGAAGATTGGAGGAAATGCATCGACCGCAGTGGACCATGAGCAGCAGAGTGGAGGATATTCTGCTGGAGGGAAGCACTAACAGGACCGACATGAAGCTGAATGAATTCCTTCGGAGCAAATTGGGCGGCACGGCGGCTGTTGGTGAAGACTACAATGTGACGATGGAGGCGTTTGTTCAGGAGCCGGATGCTTACGTACAAGACCAGCAGTTTCTTAGAAGAATTGTTAACTTAACTGCGTACCAATTGCTGAAAATAGAGCTGGAAAGAGAGCTGGAGAAAAGGAAAATATTATTGGAGGCTATTCATAAACTTGATGACGAGGGTGTGTTCTCTCTCGAGCAATGGAGGGACTATGAAGGAAAGGATACGGTCACTCCTCATGCAAAGGGAAAACTAAACGGAGTACTCACTCAGGTACAGAGAGAAGAGAAGCGTGAGGCAGAGGAAAGGCTAAGGCGTGAGGAAGAAGAAATACAAAGACGACTGCAAGAAATGAAATATACCATTTCCACTACGATCGAAGAGGTACTGTTTAAAGGAGGAGTCCGCGTCAAGGAAAGGAAGCTGAACGATTTTCTTCTGGTGAGATTTGGCGGCAGGGGCGTTGTGGACACAAAGGATAATGTCGTGCTGGAGGAGTTTGTAAAGGAACCGGCGAGGTATATCCATGATGCGGGAGTATTGAACGAAATAAAGACAACAGATGCTTATTTGAGGATTGAGGGGGCTGTAAGGGATGAAAAGGATAAGGAGGAAGATGTACGCAGGCTTAAACAGGCTGGTGTGTCCAATTTACAAAAATGGTCCGAAGCTGCTGAGCAGATAAAAGAAAGTGTTCATGAGATCACTAAAAGTTTTTTGGATGCAGCCGCCGAGGAGGCGAGGAATCCAACGTCGACGGTTGTGTCGATAAAACTGGAGGGAGTGTACGAGTCTGTGTACAATGCGAGGTGGCATCATGTCATGGAAGTTCCTGACGACAATGGAATGGGAATGAAGGTGGAGGAGGGGAAACCAGAACAGTCATGGACGTACAAGGAAGTTGGCCAAACTCTCGAAAAGGATGACGGTGTGCAGCAATCCGGTACACCACGTATCAGGCTGATGGTGCTCACCTCGGACAAGAGATGGCCATACACGATGAATGGGCCGCATAGGGCTGGTATTGACTTGTGTGTTAACTGTGAGGTGGAGCGAGTGTGGCAGATCGTCGAGCGCGATCTAACTAAGTGGTTCAGCAATTTTGATTCGACTCTCAATCCTTCACCTGTGCCGTGTGTGTTGATTGGGACGCCCGGGATTGGGAAGTCGATGAATGCCGGTTCGTACCTCCTCTACCAGCTGCTGCAATGCGATGTCAGGAAACTCCAAGTGGTTGTCCAATGTTTTGGAGAAACGGCGTACGTGTTTGACAAGACCAGCAGGGCGGTGAGAAAATACGAGGGTGAGATAACATCCAAGAATGTTATCTCGAGTTTGTGGCGGTGTGGGATGAAAGGGTATATTATTTACGATGTGGCAAAGATAGGGACACCGCCCGACGCAGGTTTTGCGCCCTATGATGGATGGGGCATGATTGTGGTGTCATCGCCAAAGGTAAACAACTATGCTAAATGGGAGAATCAACTACAAGCGGCGCGAATCATCATGAATTGCCCCGACGAGATGGATGTGAAGGCAATGTGTGCATGGATGAAGCGAGGTCTGGATCCAGATGAGCAAGCGGAATACTGGAGGATGGTTGAAAAACACATGGATAAAGTGGGGCCGATTCCACGTCACATCTTTGATGAGAATAAATATGGAAAACGCACGAAGGATGTTACGAGGGCCTTGAGATGGATCAATATTGGGGATCAAGGAAAGTACTTTACACAGGGAGGAGAGCAATGGTATTCCGAGGATCCGTCTCACAAACTTGTGAAGATTGTTCGAGTGAGAGAAGATGGCCCATTTGAGGACTTCAGTAATGCACCTATATGTACTTATCTTGGGGTTTTAACATTATCTCGTTTGGCAAAGGTGCTGAGTCCGCATGATATTTTTTTTCTCGTATTGGGGATGAAGAATGTTGTTCAATCCGCAGCTTTGAAAAAGTATGCTTTGACCGTATTCTTGAGTGTGGAGTTTGTCACTTCCATAGTGAAGGATCTCAAGGAGCTGCAGCCACCATCACCTTCCAAACCACGGTCCTCGGTGCTAACGTTAAACCCTCATGGTTACCCCACCGAGGCAGCTGCAATAACTGAACTGAAGTTTATTGATCGCCCGCAAGAATTAAAGTATCGGGTGCTGTACATACCGACGTTCCCAACCTTTCCGCTGGTGGACGGCTTTTTCTTTTTGAAATCACCGCGGAGGACGCTGGTTGGGCTGCAGATGACTACGGCGGGTGGGCACCACACCACCGCCAGCACTGTGAGGCAGTTCACTGAGTGCCTGGCGTCATATTTTGATGGTTGGGAGGAGTTATCCCGAGACATCTCGTGGGATATTATTTATATACAACACGCAGACAGCAAGCCGATGAAAAATTGGCAGAGATGTGATTACGTCAATCCCAGGAATAAAACCGACGCTGAAAAAAAAATTGTGGCGTTCTGGAACGGAAGGGTACACCAATACCAGGTTATTTTAAAAGGTAAATTTCCTGAGGCAATCAAATTTTCTCATGATGGTCTACCTGAGGGGGATGAAAAAGGCAAGAAAATCGAAAAAAATAAGTAGTAACAAAGTGCATTTCGTTCTGGTGAAATATATTAGGAAGTATTTTAACGATTTTTATATGTGTGTGCCTACGAGGTCTGGACAGTGAAGGCCTTTCTTTTCAGAGAACCGTTGTGGTCAGCAGTGCCACACTCACCACACCCTTTTCTCATTTTATTTTATTTTTTTCCACCAGAGGCGCATCGTCACTGGAGGCTGTTGCGCACTGTAGGGGCCGCAGAATTTTTCTTTATTTTCATGGGATTTTGTGAAAAGAATGCTTGAGAGGACGGCTGGCTGCCCAAATAAATTCATATCTCGCACAAACGAAGATATCTCTTCACAACTTTTCTCTTCTATCGCACTGTCTTTTGGGAGACCGCGATTGAGGGAGTCAGGGAGCCGACAGCTGCCAGACGAAATTATTATTATTTTTTATTTTTATTTTTGCCGCCCCACCCACTTTGTGATCCCCACCTTGCAGCGTTTTCTTGTGGTGGAGGAGCCCAAAGGCCTGCCGCTTCGCAGGGGATAAGTGTTTCTAATTCTAACTATGTGCAGAATTCAACGGCAGTGATTGACAGAATGCGCATATGTTTTGGGGGAAACATTACGGCGAACTCATTGCCTCTCCATTTACCGCTTTTTTTCTCCTGTCCTTTTGGATAATTTCAGAATCCGGCCGGCGGCCCAGAAGATTATTAAGTGTTGTTTCCCTCTCTCTCTCTCTTCTTTTCTTTTCTGTCTGTCTTTGACCCTTTTTTGTGCATGCAACAAACGCACAGCGCAGCATTCAAGGTGATATTCTTCCAATGGAGGCGAAAGCCGTTTCTGCTCCCACCAAACCACGACGTCGTCCTCGCAGCTCCCCGCGACAGTGCGGGTGGACGGCAACACGGCGCAGTTCAATTGTCCCCAGCCCCTGAGGGATGCCGGATTTGCGGTTGCTGAGGCCTTGTTTGACGTCGATGTGGCGTTGGACGTGCCGGACGCAAGTACACTCTTCCGAAAATTGCGTGCCACTGCCGCCCCCAAACTTTACTCAGGAACGCAAGAACATGGTGGCCTTCAGCTACGGCGTGCGCTCGTCAACAAAGCGACGACTCATTTACGGCTCTGCAGCTGGAGAAGGATATGCTGCTTGAGTCATCACTGAATTTATTCGGCTGGGCGCCAAAAAGGGCATTTTTGCATTTTCATGCCACGTCATTGGGTCAACAGAGCACCGCGCAGACCTTCTTGACGCCGACAAGGAGCTCGGAGTTATTGTGGACTCCGTGAAGGAGGGACCTCGTGTGCGAATGGTGGCGCGAATTCGTGTCTCATTGGCCGGCGACGCTCGAGCGGCGATGGACGTTATCGTCAAAACTATGAGAAATACTTTTTTTCCGTGCTGTGTGAAAAGCAGCCAACGTCTGAGCTGGAGGCAATGCCCTTGTATTTGCCCGACACCGTCGTCCTTCAGCTTTACCGCGATGATGGTGAGGCGGAGTTTGCAGATTACATGGATGCAAACTCCCTGACATTTGTCGACTTGGGAGATGCCGAACGGCCCGCTTTGTGTGGCATTGATGCCACCGCGCAGCTACACTACGAAGGGGTCCAACGAACACTGGTGTCGGCAGCAGGAATTGTCTCCGGCATTCGCCGCCGTCGTCTGCGTGTTCCCTTCGGCATGTCAGAACTCAGTGAGTTGTTGCGCCGGGCGTACAACACGGAAAAAGGAAACCGCAACAATAGTCTCACTGGTTCTACCGAGACGGTTTTATTGGCTCACTTTTTTTTGGATGCCGTGTGGGCGGAGGAATCGTTTCATTGTCTCTCCATGACTTGTCGTGTTGGCAATGTTCTTGTCTTGGCCGGAATTGGATCCGCCACAAGGGATCTTGCCGTTGACAAGTGGCGTCTTGATCAGGACATCATGGAGTAGTGGGATGAACTCATGATTGCCCGGACCGTGTACGACTACACGCATTGTGGCTATGAATCCAACAGGCCCATTTCAGGCATAAAGGAGGAAGAGATGAAGCGCGTCAACGCCATTGAGAGCAGCCGTGAGGAGGCGCGGAAACGGCAGCTGAGTGTGTTTTGCGAGCGCGCCAAGCATGAGGCGGAGAAGATGGCCGAAGAGCTTGAGCAGGGAGGTGGGGCCACGTTGGATGAAATTTAGAGGACTCTGGAGGCGAAAAGCGGGAGAGCAGTGCTCTGCAGGCTGACCGCGAAAGCCGCATTTGGGAGTACGAGCATACGTTGGAGAAGATCCGAACGAGGAAACAGGACGAGGAGAGTGCCTCGGAGAGGTTGCGGCAGGCGATGCAGCAGCTGGAGCAAGAACTCAGCCTACGGCAGAGCGCCATTGAGACGAGGGAGCAGCAGCTCGAGATGGTTCAACTTGACGGGGCGAGGGGGCGAGAGGCCATCATGCGGGAGCGGCATTCTATTGAGGAGGTGCGAAGGACCGTCCGGGTGGAGCGGTGTCGCCAGCGGAGGCTGTGGATCCATCAGATTAAGGAAATGAATGCAAAAGTCCTGGAACAGGTGCGTCTGTTGGCCGAGGAGCGGAAGAAGAACTGCGAGCAGGCGACAGCCAAGGAGGACGCCGCCGAGAGGGCTTTTGCTGCCGACATCAAAATGATCGAGGAGTATTTGCCGAAGCTCATTTCCCTTGAAGACATTCCAGTGAACCCGGAGGAGACGGACATCATTCGACGCCAGTTTGACGAGGTCTTCACGCAAGGAGAACAGACATACTTGGCCAGCGCTGAAGAGGAACAGGCCCGCAAGGAGAGGCTGGGACGAGGACTCGAGGTGTATCGACAGCGTATGCTTGATGACTACGTGGGAAAGGAAAATGGAAAACTGCATGACGCCGAGGCAACGGAACGCCACCTCAGTTCTGTTGTGGATCAGGTGCTGAATTAATTACGCAACGGGGTCCGCATGACAAAGATACCAAGCAAGGGCAATGCTTGCAGACGCCTATATTTTCTCTCGGAGGACTGCAAACGTATTCATTCCTTTGATCTGGACCATCAGGGATTCCCGATAAATCGCAAACGGCCTCCAGTCACCATGTGGATACGTGACATCGAAAAAGTTCTTATCGGCCTGTCCACAACCCCATTTGTGAACTACAGCGGCGAGGCACAGCTGGCAAAAACACGCCAGTAGGCAGTTTTTGAAAATGGAACGCACCGCCATGATGCCACGCAAAACATCACTCCGTCCAGCCTTGGAACAAACAACCACCGCGCATTCGCACTTTTACTTCGCGGCGGGAAATCATTGGAAGTGGTTTGTGAGACTGACAGCGACTGCGAGGCCTGGCTTGTTGCTCTCAAGCGTCTACTGCATTTGAAGACTCCTGTGGAAAGGCTTCTTGAGGAACGACGGGGTACGTCAAGAGACGCACGTGCGCAGCCAAGCGATAATGACGTGGAAATGCGGTGGGGCGGCCCAATTGACATTCGCAATATGGAGGATTTGTTTTGTTGGCCCCCGATGCAGCAGCTCTTTGCGGCGAGATCACATTCCGCCAGCCCTCTTCCTTCGGGTGTAACAGGAGCTGGCGGAAAAGTCTCAAAGGAGCACAATAACCGCCTGTGGTGTCCGAGTTTGCTCGGGCCTGGATCTCTTTTGCTCTGGCCGACTTTACGACTAATTGTGCGAAAAGCGTGTCGTTCCTCCTCCGTACTAATGCCGTGGGATCTTTTAGTGTTTTTCTCTCTTTTTTTCCCATGGCTATTTGTGGTTTCCTTGTGTGCACTTTTGGATGTATTGAGGCGGCTGGTTGGAGAGAGGCTAACTGCCGCACAATTTTGTGTGAAAAGGACTTTTGAACCCCACGTGTTTGGGTTATTAGCGAGTAAAGGGAAGAAAAAAGGAAATAATGGTCATCACTACTACTACTGCTGCTTCTTTTACTTGCTGCCGGTTTGAAATGGGCTATCCATCATTTCTTATGGGTGTTCCACACCCTTCTTCTTTTTCCTCTGTTTCTGGATGCGTGTTTTTAGCACCGCCGTTGTGGGGCCATTGCTTTGCCAACATGTATACAGGGGTGGTGCTTCTTCCCATAGATGTGCCGTGAAAAAATATTAATACATTTTTAAATGCGCCGTGTGCTTTTCTGTGTGCGTGTAATGTGGGGCTTAGGCCTCACCCAGGCAGGGGCAATGACACCTTTGCACCATTGCGAGGCGGCCGTCGAGGCAGCGCACTAGCACAACAAACTGTGCGTTCCATAACACACAGAGTATTCGCTACTGTGGGAATCGAACACTTGTTTTTTGGTGAAACTACCAGGGCTTATCCACTGGGTGCGGTGCGTTGATTCGGCAAAGGGAACAGAAGGACGTCCTCTATGAGGTGTGCCTGTGGAGGGAGAACTGAACTGCTACCTTGATGACTATAAAATATTGGTATTTATCTGAAACGAGGGGGCGCATCGCTGCGCATGACGAAACTTTATTTGTACGGACGTGATGCGGCGGGTGGAGGAGGCCAACGGGCATGAGCAATACGAGAGCGATGCCATTGCTGCCTGTTGAGATGATTTGAGCAATGATGATGATAATGATGGGGCGAACACTCTCAGGTAGAAACGCTCTTCTCGATTTCAGGGTATTAAAGTTGCACGGTAATGTGCCGCAGGTTGACCGGCCCTCTTTTTGTGGGTTTTTCCAACACTTCGGTGGAGCTGCTCGGCGTTTTCCAAAAGGGTGTTCTGTTCTGCACAGGCGTGGCTGCCCGAGGATTGTATCCGCCACGGGCGGACTGAAGTGTGCACGACGATCCTCCGACAGATCCAGCGTGTTGTACTTACCGCACTGGACGGTCAATCCCGCATTGGCAACGTTGGGGACTCTCTGCTGTTCCTCATGCCACACGAGGCAGGATGCATCTCATGCGTGAGGACCCTTTATCGCCAAAGAGAGAGGGATCAGTGACTCTTTACGGGAAACGAGGCGGCAGCAGCAGCAAATGGAAGAATGCTAATACGTCTCTTCTCTTTCCACCAC